AGGGGCCCATCACTCAGGTGTTGCTGCAAAAGCTGGGGCATGAGGCCTGTGTAAAGCTCCTTCCAGAGAGATGCTGGCGATCTGGTTTTATCATTGGAGTGAGCCCAAGGGAGAAGATGGGAGAAATGCCTATCACTTCCCCTGGGTTCTGGGGAGAATCTCAGCCAGCTCCTAGGTACGGGCTAAGTAAGAAGCTCTACCCACTGGTGGGAGCTTGTAAAGTATGCAATCTAAACCCTTCCATGGAAAAACTGGGGATGCCTGCTCCCAGCATGCTGGGCCCGGAGGGGATAGAGTTGGGAAGTGTTCATGTACCCACAAAGAACACCTTCTTTGTTTGCTGTGGTCCTATTGGTCTCATGGATGCAAGCCCCAGTGACATTCACAGCTAGATCTTTTGGGAACCCACCCCGGTTGTAGGACACTGTATTGGGGTGGGGTTTATGGCTGGAGTGTGTCTCAGCCTTTCTTTCCTATGTGTTTCAATGTGGGTATTACCTCATTCCCTTATGTGTAGAGGTTCCTCAGCTAGGTTCTGGATTTCTCTCAGGCAACTTCTCATGGTGTAGCTGTACATTTGATGCATCCCTGGGAGAAGAGAAGTTCAGGAGCCTTCTATGTTGCCATCTTGGTCTCTTCCAAGTTTGCTTGCTTTTAATGGGTACTTTGTATTCCTGTCTTTGGATAGATCATAATTTATTGGACTCACTCTCAATTGATGAGCACTTGGCAGTATTTTGCTCTTACAAATGATGCTGCAAGTCATTTCTCACACGTGAGAATACATATTTAGGAAGGAATGTTAGAAATGGAATTGCTGAGTCATTAGTGGTTTTCTTAGGTATTCCCAAATTAATTCTACAGAGCTAATTCCCATTAGGAAAATAGGTGATTGCCAGTTTCGTAGGTCCTACTTTGCATGGGCCAGAGAGAATGTATTAAAGGATGAGAAAAAACTATGAATGTGAAGAAGCAGGGAAGGTGGGGAATGAACTGTTGCAGGGTGTGGGAATTGTGAGAGCAAAGGCCAGGAGTCGGATAGGAGTATAGCATAGTCAGTGTCCAGAAAGATCAGTGTGTCTAGAGCTACCCTGCTAGTTGGTGTCATGTGGCTATTGGTTACTTGAAATGCGACCAGTCTGAATTGAGATATGCAGTAAATGTAAAACATACACTGGATTTTAGAGACTTAGTATTAAAAAAAGGACATACAATTCCTCATTAATAATTTTCATATTGGTTTCATGTAGAAATAATAGTTCTGATGTATTGTACTTAAAATATATTATTAAAATTAATTTCATCTGTTTCTTTTTACTTTTTTACTTGACTTTTTACCTTTTTTACTTTTTTACCGTGGCTGCTAGAAAATTTTAACTACCTCTGTGGCTCTTGCATCATATTTCTATTGGAGAGTGCTGGTCTAGAACAGGGATTGGTGAGGTATGGGCTGCTGGCCAGATTTGTCTTCCGGCTTGTTTTTATGTGGCTGGAGCATTAAAAATAGCTTTTATATTTTTAAAAAGAGTTTTACAGAAGAAAAAATCTAGGAAGAATATGCAACAGAGACAGTATGTGGCCCATGAAATCTAAAATATTTGTTTAATTAAATTAAAATTAAATTTTCAAAAAATATTTTCTAAAATATTTCTAGCCCTTTACAGGAAAATATTGCCAACCTCTGATTTTGAGTAACTTGAGAAAGGGCCAGTTGAACAAGATGACAGGGAAGGGCACAGGTCCAGATCATAAAGGGTCTCGTGGACGATGATAGGAAATGAGGATTTTATTACCAGAGCAGTGGGAAGCTAAAGAAGGGCTTTAAACAGGAGAGCGATAGCATCACATTTATGTTTTTAAATGGTAACTGTGCACACACACACACACACACACACACACACGCAGTTCTTAAACATCCCACCCCTGGGACTAATCGGGGCTAAAGAGCGTCACATTCTTGCCTTACCAGAAACTGTCACTAGAAGATCGTGTCGAAGGCGTGTGGGTGGGGATTTTGCACCAAACACAGAGCTCTGCACTCTCATCGTCATCACCTTGTCATGTTTGCGTTCACCGTGTGCCTGGCATTCTCCAAGCTGCATGCCTTGTCTTGCTGACTGTATTTCATTCCTTCTTCCAAGTGGGTGCAGCTCTCTTGGGTGACAGCAGGCGCAGGGAGAACAAGCCACCTGAAAGACTCCATTCCTTACCAGGAATATAAACTCAATCCAGTTTCGGTCCTTGGCTTCCGCTAGGAGTGATGTGCGTCCACGTGGTTTATTCACTCCATTGGCCTGAGCCAACAGGGAGAAGCATCCCATCTACCGTACTCTGAACGACCTCAGACCCGCAGGCCTGGGGTTGCATGCTCTTCAAACCTCTCCCTGCTATTTCCCCCTTCTGGTACCAGCCAGATCTCTTACTAGTATTGGGGTAGTCCGTCTCACCTCTGGGTCCCACAGTATAATGGGCCGCTGATGCTGAAATGAGACCTTTGATGAATTATTATGTCATCATCCTATAGAGAGAAGTGTGGTATTGTACACGGTTCTACTGGGCTGGACAGGTTATTGGGGCAGTAAAAAGTCCAGTCCAGACTAGACACAGTGGATTACACGTTACTCCCCACCAGCCCACTCTAGATTGGGAAGCTCCTGGGAGGTGAGCAGCGGGAAGCACCACTCTTCTATGAAGTCATTCAGGACCTCAGCCTCCTGCCATCTGGTGGCTCCACACTCCTCCAGACCCGCCCCCCACAAAGTTGGCAAATGGAGAATGAGCAAGGTGGGAAGGCACACCTACTCTCAACCGCTTTGGCCCCGGAGTCACACCTGCCACTTTGCTCATATTTTCCTGGCAAGTCCTAGTCACCAGACGCCACCTGGAAGAAGATGGGCTAGGGAATATGGTCTTTCTGTGTGCCCAAGAAGGGAAGGACATAGAGGAAATGACAGCCCGGAACGCTGCACCACAACCTCATATGGTCCCTGGGCGGCCCTTCCTTTAAGATAACTCACAAGCTAGGCAGTTTCTTCCAAATGTCTACACACTTTCTTATGCTTCTGACATAAGAGGTTTGGGTTTACCTTCTGTTCTTTAGACACCGCTTAGTTTTGCATTCACATTACCGCTGTTATACTGGCTTTGTCCTTTGAATTCTGTTTCTCGGTCTGAGTCTGTTTTCCCTCAGATCATTAGGCCTGCTTACTCCCAAGGAGGTATTACTTGAGTTTGTGTGGATACTTTTTTATTTCTTTATTTTTAAAGATTTTATTTATTTATTTGAGAGAGAGAGAGAAGCAGACTCCCCGCTGAGCAGGGAGCCTGATGTGGGGCTTGATCCCAGGATCATGACCTGAGCCGAAGGAGATGCTTAACTAACTGAGCCTCCCAGGCACCCCTGTATAGATACATTTTTTAAAAAGATATTACTTGTTTCTTTTTTAGAGAGGTTGAGAGAGAGCATGTTCGTGAGTTGGGGGGAGGGGCAGAATGAGAGAGAATTTCAGGCAGACCTGTAGTATGGAGCCCGATGCTGGGTTCGATCCCACAACCCTGAGACCATGTCCTGAGCTGCAACCAAGAGTCAGATGCTAAACCATCTGAGCCAATCAGGTGCCCCTATGTGGATACATTTTTTAAAAATTTTATTTGGAGGCACCCGAGTGGCTCAGTCAGTTAAGTGTCTGCCTTCAGCTCAGGTCATACAGGATCAAGTTCCACATCAGTCTCCTTGCTCAGCGGGGGAGCCTGCTTCTCCCTTTCCCTCTGCCTGCTGCTCCCCTGCTTGTGCTCGCTCTTTCTCTCTCTGGCAAATAAATAAATAAAATCTTTTGAAAAAAAAGTTTTATTTAAGTAATCTCTATGCCCAACACGGGGCTCCAAGTTAGGACCCCGAGATCAAGAGTCACCGGCTCTTCTGACTGAGCCAGCCAGGTGCCCCACGGCTGTGGAGAGGTGATGTCACTTTTCACCCGCTGAGTTGGGAGTCACATGTGCCTGACCTCCAGCCTGCACTCTGAGCCACCACCGCCTGCAACATCCTTTCTGGACCAGGCTGGGCACAGCTGTCTCTTCCATCTTCATTTCTATCTATCCCTCCCTCCCTCATTGCAGAGCTGGTCATGGACCTTTCTTCAGATATTTCCTCCCCTCCCAAGTCTGGGGTTCTGGAGTTCATGTGCATATGGGAGATATTGGTTCCTGGGGTAGTGCTATAAAAAATAAAATAGAAGAACAATCAGTATTAAACTAAGATGCAGGGTTTTTTTAAAAGATTTTATTTATTTGAGAGAGAGAGAGAGCACGCAGGAGCAGGGGGAGGAGAGAGGAGCTGGTTCCCCGCTGAGTAGAGATCAAGGGACTTGATCCCAGGATCCCAGGATCCCAGGATCCCAGGATCATGACCCGAGCTGAAGGGAGACACTTAACTGCCTTAACTGACTGAACCGCTGGGGTGCCCCAAGGTGCAGTTTTTAGTTGTATGAGATTAGGAAATTAGAATAGAAGATCTTGACAAAGACATCTCAGAGAATCCTAAAGAGTCCTTTTCTTGTTTGGAATGTGCAAAAGAGACAGTTTGCGTAGTCCATCAATACACATTTAACTTTGGAATTTACTTTAAAAGTGTATTTGCTTTGTGTCAAGTCTTCCTTTTTCATCCGTTTTAAGAAGGCAGGTGTCTGTAGCTGCTGCATTGAAATAAGGATCGTCCTAGCCTACCCTGTGACTTCCTGGCACATTGTAAACCCAACCTGCCATCTGCGGGTGTGGCAACTTGCTTGGATACACCAGGATTTCCTCACTTGCAGAGATAATGAAAGAATCTCGGGGATCACTAACTGACACAACCACAGGAGAGCGTGCTAGAGAAAATACTTGGAAGTCTCTAGTAGCTACAGCCTAGAGGTAGAATTTCTGGGTTGATGCGTGCTGCTGTCCCCGGGTTTTGTTCTATTTTGTTTAAGGTCTCTCACCATCCTCTACTTGTCTCTCTCTAGGTTTGACTTGCGCTGATTTGGGCCTGCATTCCAGGATGGTTTGTTCTTGGGACCAGACCTGACCAGAAGTTGACCTCATGAGTGCATCAGCCCCTCCCGCTGCCATGCTCCTCCGGAGGCTGAGACGGCTCTCCTGGGGCAGCACCGCTGTCCAGCTCTTGATCTTAACGGTGGTGACATTCGGCTTGCTGGCCCCCCTAGCCTGTCACCGCCTTCTGCACTCTTACTTCTATCTACGCCACTGGCACCTGAACCAAATGAGTCAGGAGTTCCTGCAGCAAAGTTTGAAAGAAGGTGAAGCTGCCCTCCACTACTTTGAGGAGCTGCCGTCTGCCAATGGCTCGGTGCCCATCGTCTGGCAGGCCACCCCCCGCCCCTGGCTGGTCATCACCATCATCACTGTCGACAGGCAGCCTGGCTTCCACTATGTCTTGCAGGTGGTGTCCCAGTTTCACCGACTTCTGCAGCAATGCGGCCCCCAGTGCGAGGGGCACCAGCTCTTCCTGTGCAACGTGGAACGTAGCGTGAGCCATTTCGATGCCAAGCTGCTGTCTAAGTATGTCCCCGTGGCCAACCGCTATGAGGGCACTGAGGATGATTATGGTGATGACCCTTCGACCAACTCGTTTGAGAAGGAGAAGCAGGACTATGTCTATTGCCTGGAGTCCTCCCTGCAGACCTACAACCCAGACTACGTCCTGATGGTGGAAGACGACGCCGTTCCGGAAGAGCAGATCTTCCCGGTCTTGGAGCACCTTCTGCGGGCTCGCTTCTCGGAGCCGCACCTCCGAGATGCCCTTTATCTGAAGCTCTACCATCCCGAGAGGCTGCAGCACTACGTCAACCCGGAGCCCATGCGGATCCTGGAGTGGGTCGGCGTGGGCATGTTGCTGGGGCCCTTGCTAACCTGGATATACATGCGGTTTGCCAGCCGCCCCGGGTTCAGCTGGCCTGTCATGCTCTTCTTCTCCCTGTATAGCATGGGTCTGGTGGAACTGGTGGGCCGGCACTATTTCCTGGAACTGCGGCGGCTGAGTCCTTCCCTGTACAGCGTGGTCCCTGCCTCCCAGTGTTGCACCCCAGCCATGCTCTTCCCGGCCCCTGCGGCCCGCCGGACCCTCACCTACCTGTCCCAGGTGTATTGCCACAAAGGCTTCGGCAAGGACATGGCGCTCTACTCCCTGTTGAGGGCCAAGGGCGAGCGGGCCTACGTGGTGGAGCCCAACCTCGTGAAGCATATTGGGCTCTTCTCCAGCCTTCGGTACAACTTTCATCCCAGTCTGCTCTAGCGTGCCAGGAAATGCCTTTCTGAACGTGGCCGCTTCTCGATGATTCCAATATCGAGTTCTTTATTTGGACGTGGTTGCTTGCAATTATTATGTTGTTTCATGTTGTTAGGGATCTAGGCACTGAGACGGCCGAGAACACACCTGTCAAGAAACTTGGCTTTGGTAGCTCTGGCTGGAGCGGTTGTTCGCCCCCCGGCGAGAGCCCTCTCCCTCCACAGAGCCACGCTGCCTCCCCCAGGGGACACTTCAGTACCAGATGTATTCTGCAGTCGTCCTCAGCTCTGCTTTGTGAAAGAGCTCGTAACTGCCAAAAATATTGTGCACAAAGATATGACTGTTTTAGGATTTTAAGGGTAGAATTTGGTGAAAGGCAATATACTTTCGAATTGGTTTCTCTCTCACTGGGTAAGAGAACAGATTTATGTCTAGAATATAAGTCTGAAGAGGCAGGACCATATTGACAGGTTCCGTTTGTTTCTTTGACCTGGTGTAGTAAAGCCGGTCGGTTAAGGCCGTCACAGTGCCTGGTGACTTGAAGGCAGGCGATCTCACTTCCCTTATGTGATGTTTCTTTTCCTTTCATCTGTAGTGTGCTGATGGTCAGTATTGTTAGTGAGAACTTTGAGACACAGCAAGGTCTGCAAGCGCCTTCTGGGTCATCAAGGTCAGATTGCTTATGTTCAGTAGTGATTTCATATTGAATATTTCCATCATATTCTGATTCTTTGAAAATTGGACATTGCAGAATGATGTAAAATGGGTGAGCTCTTTACTAACAGCATAGCCTTTTTCTGAATTTTGCTGGCTGACTGTTCACCCTCATTTGTTTCCCCTCCTTCTGGGTATCATGATGTTAGAGAAGCAAACGCATAGACTGTGAAGTCGGAAGGGCCTGAATTCTTATTTCAGATCTCTGCCATGTCCCAGTGATGTGCCCTTGGGCAAGCCATGGCCACTCTGAGTCTCAGTTTCTTCACCTATAAAACAGGGATGGTGATACCTACCTTTGAAGGTTGCCTTGAAGATTAAGAGACAGAATGTTTATAAAACACCCAGCAAGTGCTTAGCCCATGGAAGGCACTTGCCAAATACTAGTTCTTTTTCTTTTCTGTGATAAGCTTATAACACTCAAGTGTATTTTCGATGGAGATATTAGTGATGTAGTTTCAAGTGTGCCGCAGGGTGTAGGGCTCCCACCCGGGGAGCAGCCATTCTGCACCAAATTGCTAGAATGAAGGCTGACTTGTCATTGTAATTCATGAAGGAGATGTAGGCTGTCACGTGGCGCCATCCCCAACCAAGCCAAAAATAATGGTTTGTTCCAACTGGAAATGATCTGAGACTCCTTTTAAACTTATTCCAAGACGAGCGTCTGAAAACTACTCTCCTCCAAAGTGACACTTAAATGTCCTTTGCCAATAGTGATCAAACCAGAGGCCAACAAGTTCCTTCGTGAAGCTGGATGTCTACATGGGAGTTGAAGCATTGACGGGTCGTTTCAGCGCCATGTTCGTTGGCTTTTTAAATTTCCAGTGAGCTTCCATCCGGAGATCCCCTTGAGAGCACTGAGACAGTAGCTCACGGCGCCTGGAGTTCCACACCATGCTTTGCAGGTGGACAAACTGAGGCCAAGGGAGGTGAAACAGCCTTCCCAGGTTCGCCCGGCTGGACAGCGGCAGAGCTGGGGTGGGAACCTACTTCCCTTGACTTCCAGCTCCTGCCCTTTTCCCTTAACCACATTCACTTTCTAAGTATCTGTGTAGTCAATGTCTCTTTTGTAGAATCTGATTGTCACCTGGACGGAACAATGTCTCTGTAAGCTGCCATGGTAGACCTGTTGGTCTTGGGGAACAAACAGGTCCATGTGTGTGTTGTTACCGTGAGATGTCATGTGTCGCTCAGGAATGTCCAAAGTGAACGGAGCTGCTGGCTGACGTGGCAGGATGTTCAGATGCCGCTGCTCCACTCAAACTCTCCCGGTCACTGGCTCATCCTGTGTTCGGGAACAGAACCACCCCGGCCTACACCTCATTAGAGCCTGTTGCAGTAACAATCGGATCTCCTCGGGAATGTTTTTTGCCCAGCAGCAGGAGAGTCACATCCAAGCTAGCCAGGCAGAAGATGGGGAATCATTGCTGGTTATAGCTGTGCTTTTTCAGATTCAGTGGTCTATTGCATGCACATATCTCTTCCTTGACTTTTTCACCCAGGATGGCAAAAGCTATCCCAGTCTTGTCTAATTTCTCCCCCTTTCCATGAAGACGCCTTCCCCCGTAGATCTTAACTAGAGCCTGCTGTCTTTGGACATTTACGGGAGATGCAGGCTCAGTTCTGCTATTTCATTCCTATCCTCTTCCAGATCTCCCTCCTTCTTGTCCCTCGTTCCTAGAGTCCAGTTTTTGTATGCTGTCTTTGATCAGGAGAGCTGACAGCTTTATACCAAAGCTGAAGTCTCATTTAATCCTAAGCGAGGGGGCTGGAGGAGAACTAAAGTCCCCTTTTCATTACAAAGGACACCGGTCACCAGGAAGGTGAAGGTCTCTAACAGACTCTTCTCGCCCTTCAGGGTTTAAATAATTATCAGGCCTAAGAAGTTCCCTATTGTGACTGGGTATATTTGCAGAGACGTATCAGTTCAAATAAAAGCACCTGTTCCACTGAGGCATCCTGAGAAGACTTTTGTCATTCTCACTCATTTCAATGGATGGATTTTTTCTTTTTTTTTTTTTTAATTTTTTTAAAAGATTTTATTTATTTGACAGAGAGAGATCCCAAGCAGGCAGAGGCAGGCAGAGAGACAGAGAGGGGGGAAGCAGGCTCCCTGCTGAGCAGAGAGCCCGATGTGGGGCTCGATCCCAGGACCCTGGGATCATGACCTGAGCCCAAGGCAGAGGCTTTATCCCACTGAGCCACCCAGGTGCCCCTGGATGGATTTTTCTAATGTGAATGGTATCAAAACTACAAACACACACACACAATCCATTTTGGAGTCCCAAGGTAGCCATTCACAATTACGGGCTGTTTGCTTAAAAATTCGTAATTGATTTTGTTGTATTTTTAAAAATATTTTATTTATTTATTTGAGAGGGAGACAGAGAGCAAGAGCACAACAAGGGGAGGGGCAGAGGGACAGGCAGGTTCCCTGTCAAGAAGGGAATCCAATGTGGGGCTCAGTCCCAGGACCCTGGGATCATGACTGAGCTGAAAGCAGATGCTTAACCCACTGAGCCACCCAGACGCCCCATGATTTTGTTGTATTAAGTGGAAACATTTGAATTGTGCATTCTTTTTTATTGTTGTTTAAAGAAAAAAGGGAGAGAATACAACTGTGTAGCTGGAGAATATAAATCAGATTAATATGATGAGAGGCTTAATCTAATTTATCTTGGATACACTCCTTATTTGGTAGGACTTATTTAATTGGTAACTTAGTTTGGGTAGAGAGTCATTCTAATTTGAATTGATTACTGTGGGATTTTTATATGCACTATGTTACATTGTGAGTTACAGTAATACATGATATGAAGTTGGCTAATTTTAAGTCACATGAACCACTTGAATATTTTTAACCCAACTATAATGAATTTGCTGAGAAATGTTCATTAACTGGCACTGGTTTTTGGTTTTGTTTTTAGGTTGGATTTTATTTGGAAAACCTTTGGGGGCTATGTCAAAGATGATTGAAAATGTAATTAAAAAGTACTTAATCTATTAGAACCGCAGTGGAAATGTGCTAGTGGCTTCCAGCTCACTCCAGGTCTTGGGTTTCGTGAGTCATCACTCTTGAGAGTGAGGATTTTTGGCTTAGATCTTAACAGATTTTCTTGATCTTTTCCCTAACATCCTACACACAAGTGTGGATGAATGAACTGATTCAAAAGAAGCATCTCTATTAATAATTTGGTGTAAAAACAGATGGAAATCCAAAGCCAAATGGTGACTTTATCCAAAAGAAACAAGGAACAGATGGCCTAAGTATGTAGGAATAGGGTAGCTTTAGGATGTCCGAGAGATGGGAGAGGAAGACAAAGATGTAGAGTGAAGCAGAGGATCTCTCATTTGTCCCCTGTTCTGTGTGTCCCAGACTCCGTATGTAATAAATGCTTTTTTTTTTTAAGATTTTGTTTTTAAGTACTCTCTACACCCAACATGGTGCTCAAACTCACAACCCCGAGATCAAGAGTCACATGCTCCACTGACGGAGCCGGCCAGCGGCTCCTGTAATAAATTCTTCCCGTGTGTCCCACTGTCAAGGAATCTTTATAGGACCAGCCTATGGAGAATGCATAGGAACTAAATAATGAATAGTCACTGTTCTAGAGAATTCACTACTTTGCTAGGACCTGCCTTCCTACTGCATTTAGAATAAATTTCAGCGCCCCTACATTACCTCCCAGGCCGGATGGAATCTTGCCCCTGCAGACTGTCTGACTTCATGTCTTATTACCACTCCTCTGTGTGTCTTCCAGGCTCTAACCATGCCAGCTTTCACTCACTTGCTTAGACTTGCTGCACTGACTCTTACTGCAAGGCCCTTGCATGGCCATCCTCTCTATATGGAACACTTTTCCTTTGGCAGAATCTTTCCTATAATTCAGGCCTCAATTTTAATCCTTTCCAATAGACTTTCCATCCTCTCTAAAGCAGTCTTCCCCTTCCCGACCCCAGGCCCATCTATCACTTACCCAGTTTGATTCTCTTCAAAGCTCTTGTCGTGACCTGAAATTCCCTTATTATTTTGGGATATTTCCCCCTCCTTCCCCTTCCCACAGGATACAAACTTCCCAATATCTGGAATCTTCTTTTTCATTTATTGCTGTACACCCAGATCCTGGAACAATACCTGACACATAGTAGGAAATGAATGAATGAAGAAGGAAAGAAGGAAGGAAAAGAAGGGGAAAAAAGGCGAGCAGGAAGGAAGGGAAGAAAAGAAAAGAAAAAGAAGGGTCAAAAGGGTAGAGGCGTCCACAGTGGAACTGCCTGTGGAAAAGAGGAATACTAGTAGAAGAGAAAAGGGGCTAGGGAAGAAAATTTAGGGGAGAGAGAGTACTGTCCAGATAGTGAGGGTTGGTCATGATGTACAATTCTGAACCCAGTGAAAAGAAGCTTTTTACATGCATTCCAGGCAGAGGGAATGACAAGCACGAAAAGGAACTTTTTTACATCACTGCACGGTTGCTTTTTGGGGTTGTTACGGTTTTATTTCTAGTGTGTGCATTGGGGGTTCTGTGTGGGGAGGTCCTGTGTGTTACCGTCAGGTGAAGGCTGGGATTTTCCTTTCAGGCCTCAACTGCCGCATCTTCAGGAATCATCGAGACATGAACACCACGTGTGGTGGGTCCACGGCCTCTTCTAGGACATTTAGGCCAAGAGGCTGGAAAGAGAGTGACAGAACAATCCCCACACTGTACGGGTGAACTCAGGTTAGAGGGGTCAGTGGCTCTGGGTGGTAGGAGTGGCCCTTGGCAAAATGTTATATGATTTAACACAAACCAAGAACAGAGAAGTAAACCTTCCCAGAGATGAGAT